CTGCTTCTCCCTCTGACCCTCCTCCCTCTCATGCTCTCTGTCTCTCATTCTCTCTCTCAAAGAAATAAATAAAATCTTATAAAAAAAATAAATAAATTAGCCCTGCCTCAAAGCGACTCCAGTTGGGAACCTCTTGTATCATTATCTTCGCTCTATGTATGATATTAGGGAATATTTAATTATTCTATATTTGTTTATAGGACTATGAATTTTTTCAATGTTTCCTATAAACCTAAGCCTCCCAGGACACAATTCAGTTGCTTCTGTGAAAACGCTGAACTCATGATTTCTACGGACATACTAGTTTGAAATTCGCAGTGACTAGAACACTGGTGTGGCACAAGGACCAACCCCCTGGCTCTGTGCTGTCGCTGAAAAACAGATTCCCGCCAGAAGAGCTGTTGATATTCCAGTCTTGCTTCCATAAGCCTTGCTATTTCAAATTATGGGATGGGAAGCAAGAACTGGGGAGGATCTCAGTTCCCACTGGGAAGTGAAAGTTCAGAATGCAGGAGAGAAAAATAAGTCCGAAACTTCCCCTTGTGTTTTCTATACTTCCCCTCCCACACCTTCCTCACTTCCTGCCTCTGTGACAGGCTCCCCTCCCAGGGGAGCGCTCTAACCTTCAGCCATGTTTAGTCATTGCTGTTAGCAAGAACGGTAGCTGCAGAGCCATTGCCCATGCCCCAGGCCTCTGTTCTTTCTGAGAGGGTCTCTCAGATGCCAGACCTTCATTCTGCCCTTGCATTTTAACCCACACAATAAAACAGAATGTAACGAGGCTGATGAGGAACAACGATGATTTTCTCTCACCAGGTTTAGACTGGCCAGAGGAGTGGGCAGGCATGAGGTACACATTATTAAATCTTCTGAGTCCCTTTTCTTCCACTGGAAGTCTGAGAAGATTGGAAAGAAGAAGAAGAGGGTGGGATGGACTGAACCAGGACTGAGACTGCCAACTCCATAAAAACTAAATTAGCTGAGGAAATAGTGAAGACCTGTTCAAAATTGAATATAGAAGCATCTAGTATCATAATATTATAAATAACAATATTTATAAATTTCCCAGAGTAGGGGCGCCTGGGTGGCTCAGTCATTAAGCGTCTGACTCCGGCTCAGGTCATGATCCCAGGGTCCTGGGATC